AGACCCAATAAAAACCACCAATAACATCACAAGAATAGAATATCGTGGTAAACAATAGGTAGGAAGTAGAATATATTTAATATAGGTATTTTAATGAGGGATATCACTCATAATATATATGTATTAATGAAGATGTGAATACAATCAATTAAAAGTAATAAATGTAAAATAATTAACAATAATAAAATCAAATGATATATACAGAAATTCATAAAAGTGTATTTATATATTATGGGAAGTGAAATAGAAAATTTTTAAGGAGACTATATTAAAAAAATCACCAAAAAGATGAAAAATAGGTGAAACTTAAAATCTACTAAAAGAAATAGGGAAAAGGATTATATAAGAAAATGACACATTTCAAAGTCTGAGTTTAAACCATTAGGGATAAAACCATTAGGGATAAGTTTGAATATCCATTCCATTTCTATTTTACTTAATTTTAAATTAAAATTTCCTCCTCTCCAATCTTTTGTTATCTTATTAATCCCTAAGAAAGTAGTGCCTCTTAATTCACAGTTATGGTGAGTTTTATAATGTAAGGACACACTATGTTTCTCAAAACCTTTGCTTATATTACGGCCGTGTTCTTCTATCCTTGTATGTAATGCTCTTGTCGTTTTTCCTATATAATTTAGACCGCAGGGGCATTGTATGAGATAAATTAAATTCTTAGAATGACAGGTTATAAATTCTTTAATCTGGTATTCTGAACCTTCATTAGATTGAAACTTTTTAAGTTGTATTTTTTTTTATTATCCATTCTTTTACAGGGCAAGCAATGTCCGAATCAAAAAATCCTTTTTCTGTATTAAGAAAAGGTGGTATTAATATTAGATTTTTCTTTTATAAAACTAGAAGTTAAAGAATTTTTTTAAATTGCTAATTTCCCTATGGATAAAATGAGGTTTATCTGGGAGGAAAGTTCTAAAAGTAGAGTCTTGAAGAAGAATGGGCCAATATTTAGAGACAGTTTTCCTAACTTTGTAATTGTTGCAACTAAAAGTCCATATGAAGGGAGTTTTACTTATTTCATTATCCTTTTTCTCTTTATATTGCATAAGATTCTTCCTCTCTACTTCTTTGATTTCTAATCTTGATTTTTCTAGTTTTTCTTCCTCATATCCTTTTTCCCAACAATTACAAAGTTAGGAAATGTCACATACTGCTCTGTTCTGTGGAGATGTCTGGCCTTGGTTTCTGGTATCCAGTACTCTTTTTTCAATTCTTGTTTAGTTTTTCTTGGTTTTTTGGTTTTCTATTCTATGTCTGGTTTTCTTTATGCTGGGATTTCTGGGTTCATTCTTTTATTGCGTCCCTGGATTTCCCAGTCTCTTGGATTCATTTAAATGTTTGTTTTATGTTGCCAGACCCGTTTGTTTTCCATCATTCCTTTTGTTTCAGTGTTCCTGCAGGCAGCTGCTCAAGTCTTCTACCCTTTCTTGCAGGTAAGGACTACGGGTGTTTTCTTTGGTTGGTTTTAGTGATGTCCTGAACGGTTCACCGAACGGTTCGCCATGGACGGCGAACATATGCACTGTTCGGTCCGCCCCCTATTCGTCATCATTGAGTAAACTTTGACCCTGTACCTCACAGTCAGCAGACACATTCCAGCCAATCAGCAGCAGACCCTCCCACCTCCTGGACAGCTCACTAAGAATGCAGCTTCACAATGAATGTAAAATGGATGCTGTCGAGGAGGTGGGAGGGCCTGGGAGGGTCAGCGGCTGATTGGCTGGAATGTGTCTGCTGACTGTGAGGTACAGGGTCAAAGTTTACTCAATGATGACATAGGGGGCGGACCGAACAGTGCATATGTTCACCGTCCGTGGCGAACCGTTCGGGACATCACTAGTTGGTTTGGTTTGCATTAGGCAGTGTAGGACCTGCCGAATATGGGGTACATTGGCGTTGTTGGCAGGCTTATGCAATGTATGATCATATAAGGTAACTAAATCCCTTTGATTTTCATATATAGTGCTTAGTTATTTCTCCTCTTGTTTTGCCTATCTTGTCTTGTTTTAGTTTGTATTTCCAGTCCATGTACAGTCCTGTCCTGCCCCTGTTTAGTTAATGTTCACTTATGTATCTGGGTTCTGCTTTCTGTCCTGCTCTGGTTCTGGGTTCTATTAGTTCTGTCTTGTTTTCATGTTTGGTGACTATCCTAGCCTTGCCTTGTTTCTGTACTGGATACATGTCTGCTGCAGAGCCCCCTATCCAGTTCCTGGGAGGTCTGCATATCAAGCTCCTAGTTCCTGGGATCCGCTGTAGCTGCATCAGGATTCTGGTATGTGGCCGCGCAAACGCTGGTGCTCAACACCAGAGGTCGTGTGGCTACCCAGCACCAGACCCTGCTAATCCACCTTCACACTGTGACTCCTACTCTGAACATCAGGCACTCAGGGGTCCCGGTTTCTGTACTGTTTTTATGCTGTAGCCAAGTGGCTTTTTTTATACTTCATCAATAAAAGTTTTTTCCTGATACCTGGGTCACAGGAGCGTTTATCGGATCCCACGCACTCGGGCTGATCCTCCCTAGGTGACATAGCTTGGAGTGGGGCTTATACCACTCCCTACTTGTGAGTTGTATTCTTACAGAGGGCATTTTGTTTTTTATTTTTTTTATCTGATTTTAATAACTTTATTGCACTAGGAGTGCCTTCTCTGTTCCTTTTTGTCTCCCCTTTTATAGCAATTATCTGTGCATTTTGACAGGTTATAAGTATACAAAGATGTGTTTGGTATATATGTTTTTAACGTGTGATAACACCAGTTCCACTGTATGTACAGTCTAGAAACACTTCACAACACTTGAGGTGTCCCTGTAATTATTCTTGCGCACCAGCACTCTTCTGTTTTTTACATATATATTTATGTATATAGATATATAGATTATTTTGTTCTAAGTGTATTTTGATTTTATATATATATATATATATATATAATCAAAATACAGTTAAAATGAAATGACACATTTTTAAATGATTTTTTTCATTTTTAACGTATTTATATATTTATCTATTTTATATTATATATACATATATATAGTTAAGTAATATTCTACATGTATTTTGATATTAAGATATATATTATTATTATTATCGCCATTTATATAGCGCCAACAGATTCCATAGCGATTTACAATATTATGAGAGAGGGATTAAACTATAAATAGGACAATTACAAGAAAACTTACAGGAACAATATGTTGAAGAGGACCCTGCTCAAACGAGCTTACAGTCTATAGGAGGTGGGGTGTAAAACACAATAGGACAGAAAATAGCAATCAAACAAGGTGGGAGTGAAGCATAGCTGGAGGAGAGAGTAGAGTGCTGCCCTTTAGCAGAGAGCAAGAGACAGGTATGTAAGGTAGAGGCTACTCTGGGAGGCCATAAGCTTTCCTAAAGAGATGGGTTTTAAGGCACTTCTTAAACGATTGAAGACTAGGGGAGAGTCTGATGGTGGTAGGCAGGCTCTTCCATAGGAAGCACCTCGCGATCACATGGCCGGCGTGGGATCACCAGTGAGCAGGTAAGTCCCCTGGAGGGCATGGATGTGTTATGCCACCCGCTGGCGGTTAGAGGCGGGTCCCCAAGGACGGCATGACACACTCGCCGTCCTTAAGGGGTTAAAGCCCATTATAGTCAGGACACACACACACATGCCCCAACATTGTTAAAGTGTTGGTCCACAAAGTTAAGATAAGAGATTGTTCTTCAAAAACAAGGAACAGGATGGTGCTCCTAGAGACACTGTAAGAAGCCCCTGGACGAGACAGAAAAGGGAAGCTATTAATGGCTGTAACCAGAAGGCAGGTTGTGAGACTGCAAAAGACCTGCAGCAAGACTTGGTGCCAACATGCACTGAGGTTTCAGTGAGCACAGTAAGGCATGTACCACAGATGGTTTCCATGCCAGAACTCCAAGACATACACCACTACTGACTCCAAAGCACATGAAAAGTCAGCTCCAATATGCTCAAAATCATACAAATAAGCCACGGAAGTTTTGTGATTCTATTCTGTGGAACGATGAAACAAATCTGGAACT